AAACAGAATTTCTAATTTTCTTCCCCTAAAACTACCCCACCTATTGTCTACCACATGCTGTGCTGTCTTTCCTGTTCTTTGCCATTTCTTTCTCCATCCCTCGTATCTTTCACCTTCTTCTATTTCTTGTTACTGCCCAGACTACTTCACAAGTACAGTTTTATTTGTTTAATGGACTCATATGTCCACTTTTCTTAATATTCTAAATGTAACATTTATGAAACAGTAAAAAGAAAATCAAGTTTTTGAATCAGAAATCCTGTATCTAACACTCACTACCTGTGTAATTTAGCACTAACCATTTAATCTCCATGAAACTATCTCAGCATCTTCAAAATTTTAAAAAATTAATGTTTGAGGATTAAATGAGATTATGCATATTAAATTTAGTATTATTATTATTATTATTTTTTTGAGATAGGTTCTTACTCTGTTGCCCAGGCTGGAGTCCAGTAACATGATCATGGCTCACTCACTGCAACCTCCAGCTTCTTGGGCTCCAGTGATCCTCCTACCTCAGCCTCCCAAGTAGCTAGGACCACAGGTATGCACCACCATGCCTGGCTCATTTTTCTTTCTTTTTTTTTTTTTTTTTTTTTGGGTAGAGAGAGGGGTTTCACTATATTGCCCAGGCTGGTCTTGAGCTCCTGACTTCAAGTAATCTTTCTGCCTCAGCCTCCCACAGTACTAGGATTAAAGGCATAAGCCACCTCATAATGTCTGCCCTCATTTAGTACTTTGTAATGGGAAAATAAATGTTCAAATGTATTATCATTCCCATCAAAAACCAAATGAAAATACTTGCTCTTTTTTTTGTAACATAGGCAGCCTCTTGAGGTTTTTCCTTTAAGTGAAAAATTATTCCTCAGTAATGAACAGCTAGGCAAATGATGTCAACCTGCCACTGATTATGTGATACAGATGTTGGTAACATGGTCTATTTCCCAAATATGTGCATTTTCTTTTCTCTTTTGCTTTCATTTCCACTTTCCTCTTCTCTTCTGCTTTCCTGCCCAATGTTTAAGCAAGTCAAAGTTCTCACTAACTTAGTCCTACCAGAGACAAATAAAGTTAAGGAAAAGTATTAAAGTAGTGCCTTACAACAGTAACTTTAAAAAAAAGTAAAACCAAAATCCCACCATTTCCAAACAAGAAGGGCTTCATTTCTATATCTTATGAAGAGAGTATGATGGTAAAAATGATGATCTATTTTAAGATGTGACAACTAGAATACTGAGTATGGTAAACTCTGAACAATATATTCATCCAACAAGTTCTCACCAAGTGCCTGCAATATACTGAGGTATTGAAAAACATAGAAAAAAAAAATTAAGTCATGATCCCTACCCTCAATAAAGTTTTTTTTTTTTTAACTTTTTTTTCTTATTTTGTTTTCTGTTTCTATTACCAAATCAGTGGTACTGCA